TTGTTCACATCAACGCCCAACCCCTTCTCGCACCTGGCGATGGTCCCATTGTCCTTGTGCTGGCCCCTACAAGAGAGTTGGCTGTTCAAATTCAACAGGAGATTACCAAGTTTGGCAAATCGTCCCGAATTCGCAACACATGTGTCTACGGTGGTGTTCCTCGTGGTCCTCAGATTCGAGATCTGTCTAAGGGAGTCGAAGTCTGCATTGCCACCCCCGGCCGTTTGATTGACATGCTCGAAGGCGGCAAAACAAATCTTCGCCGCGTCACGTACCTAGTTCTTGACGAGGCTGATCGTATGCTTGACATGGGTTTCGAACCACAAATCCGAAAAATTATTGGCCAAATTCGACCCGACCGTCAGACACTCATGTGGTCTGCCACTTGGCCTAAGGAAGTTCGAGCTCTAGCCTCCGAGTTCCAGACCGACTTCATTCAAGTCAACATTGGTTCGATGGATCTTTCTGCAAACCATCGTATTACCCAGGTTGTCGAAGTGGTTTCTGAGGGTGAGAAGCGTGATCGTATGATCAAGCACTTGGAGAAGATCATGGACAACAAGGAGAACAAAAGTCTCATCTTTGTGGGAACAAAACGTGTTGCCGATGAAATCACAAGATTTCTCCGCCAGGATGGCTGGCCAGCACTTTGTACGTTTCAACCTTGCGATATAAATCCTGTCACTAATACGTTTGCAGCGATACACGGCGACAAACAACAGAACGAGCGTGATTGGGTCCTGGACCAATTCAAGACCAACAAGAGTCCCATCATGGTTGCCACCGACGTGGCTTCCCGTGGTATTGGTATGATTAACATTCCCCCAACCCTGTCCCGTCCCCACAACTTCCAGCAGAGTTATATCCGATGTGCTTGACTGTGACGTCTAGGGGCTTTCTTGATTGCGCACATATTTCTGGCCTAATCATGTCTCGTGGTTCTCCTTCCCCCCGGATGATCGGGATCGATGGTATGGCCTAAGGGCCGTGTCGATGTTTCGCCTTTGTACCTGATGTGCTGTGGTACAGCTAGGCGAAGTTGAGCATTTCTTGATTCTGTCAAGCTGTCTCTAAGATTCCCGAATCCTGAGGACCCGGACCAGACTATTGGGATCAATTCCAGATTGACAGTGTTGATGCAACAGACAGCCCCATTCTCGATGGAGAAAGCACGGAGCAATATGCTTATGGCACCTTTGTCTACCGCTGGGACTTGCTTCATAGCAACTCGTTTTCTAGAGCTAACCTTTTGTGATAAAGATGTGCGCAACATCACTCATGTGATCAACTATGATTATCCGAACAACTCGGAGGACTACATTCATCGTATTGGCCGTACTGGCCGCGCTGGCGCCAAGGGTACCGCCATTACATTCTTTACTACTGACAGTATGCCTCATCACTCCACTCTACGCTCTTGAAGTTAGGCTAACCCACATTATCAGACTCGAAGCAGGCTCGTGATCTCGTTTCCGTTCTTCAGGAAGCTAAGCAACAAGTTGACCCAAGATTAGCCGAGATGGCGCGATATGGTGGAGGCGGCGGTGGCGGCCGATATGGCGGTCGTGGTTACGGACGTGGCGGCCATCGTGGTAGGTTTCATTCATACTCTTGCTATTATGAGTCAAAATTAACCAAATCTTTAGGTGGCGGCGGCGGCGGCGGTGGCGGTGCCGGTGCCGGTGCCGGCGGTGCAAACGCTATGCCTCTTGGTAACCGACGATGGTGATTGAATTCTTCTACAGGTGCCTCCAAGATCCCGAATTTTCATTACGACATAGCAATGCTCGTGGGATTGTTGAGGTCATCTTCATTCCCAAAAGCACAAACGGCGTTATCTAGAGGGTTTGGCTGATTAGACATGGTAATATCGGCTTTCTTCAAGTCGTGCATCTCTTCGCCGAGATATGCACGTGTCATTGTTCCTTTGATTTCGTCAAGAGATGTGACAAGGTCCTCTAGGTTTCTAAGGACAACTCTACCTTAGCTTGAGAAGAGGCACAGCATTTGTTCTATGTTTCAGGGCCCCTCTTGAGGAAATAACTGGCAGCCTTGCCTGTTAACATGCCTGCAGGACATGGGCTGTGGAACTCGCTGACCCGATTCTAGATTGGAACTGCTAAGCTACATCATATTGACTTCCAAAGTCTTCCATGTTCATGTAGATTCCCTTGTCCCAGCTGCACTCACTAGGAGGCAAATCAGACAGCTTAGGTAGCATAAGAACGCTTCTTAATATCATTCCCCCAACTCGTGACACTAGCTTTGGTGGTGGTGAATATTCCTCATGTTAACCAGTGGTCGACTCAACAAGATGTCAAACATGAGGATCCTTGCAACGGCATATAGTTTCCGGCTTTCATTTGCTTCTTTCCACCTCTGCCGAGTCCTGGCCACATCAGGAACTTCTGGAGTGGATAAGGTTATTCAAGATGGCACTTCTAAATAGGCACACAATATATCCGGCCCAGCTCCATTTACCCGGTTCTCGCAACTCACATTCCGCTCAGATTCTCTTTCCATCTTGGCATTATATGCTGGTATGACGCCTTTCGGTTCTAGATGATGGCTTGCTTGTTGCTTGTTGCCCTTTCCCTCCTGCATTTGGGTTTATAATTCCATCGTTAGGATAGCAATAGGTATTCCTTAGTTTGTGTGAACCATTTTTGTTGGACTTATTTCTGTCTCGTCAACATCTCCAAAAAGGCTGTCGTCCCCACAAGCAGGCTACAAGAATAGGCGGCCTATCAAGCCAAGATTTCGCAATTTCACGTTCGATCGTTGTTATTGAATTGGTATCGAACATGAAGGCCACGGGAGTACTCGCGTTCTTTGTTGGCGCCATCCAGGCCGCTCCTCATTGTATGTATATATCGAACTTGTGCTATTCGTCATTACACCGGTGTTCTGCACCATCTTCATCTCTATTCAAGACTCTACTCATAGTTTAGTGTCTCTTGGAGATTTCATGTTCTCATAATATATACCTAAGCGCCCCGACTGTATACTCCTGTTGTTCCTCGTCATATTCATAAACTGTTCAGACACCTTCCCCAAACTTGCCGGAACGTCGGACTGGTCGTCGGTACGCCAGGTTAGTATTCCAGACTCATTCATCCTTGTTCTCAACGTACCTCGAGAGTAAGCGCTTGCTTAACCAGGGATATTGCTACTCCTGTTGTTGCCTTAACAAGCTCACGAAACACTCCACATCCTTCGTCGATGCCCATTTCTAACATCATTGTTTCCAAATAGACGGCCAACTTCCAGAGCAACGGGCCTGTGACGGACGTGGCAAGCGATGCGATCCGATGCTACGAACGGGCCCCCGGCGGCGCACCCGACATCACCACGGTTAACGCCGGCGGCCAGATAACCTGGCAAGCGGCGCCGAACATCTACCACCCGGGCGCGTTGTCCGCGTACATGGCAAAGGTCCCCAGCGGTCAGACTGCCGCCACGTGGGATGGCAAGGGCGCGGTCTGGTTTAAGGTCTTCCAGGATATGCCGTCTGTTAGTGGTGGACAGTATACTTGGCCATCGAATGGTGAGTCTTCTTGTTTGGTTTGCAGTTGATAATCCTAAAATTTGGTGTGGGGGCCAGAGAAAGAGGCAAGAGTGATTAGGCATTTTACTGCAAACGTACTGACTTGTGTTGTCCACACAGGAAAATCCCAGGTTGGCTTCACTATTCCGCAGTGTCTGGCTAATGGTGATGTGAGTATTCTCGGAGCCATATTCTTCTTCCCGTTCTGCCCTGTTTCGGAACCCGCTAGATCACGCTCAGCATGGCAATTACTGATCCGAGTGTTGTAGTACCTCTTCCGCATCGAGCATGTTGCCCTTCATAGGTTAGTCTACATCCTACGCTCTTGTTGCTTATATTCAGGTTATTTTCTCCCTCCTGGATGGAAAAGGTCCCCTCCTCTAACCCCTAGTCCCCCATATTTTCGCCTTCCACTCTACACTTTTCCCGTTCTTCATTTCTATCATCCCCAGCTTACTTCCCTTTAAAACCTATCTAGCAACCACCAGCCCGCGTTATCACGAGGCAAAAATCCATAAGATTATTGGCAAGACTCTACAGATAGCTAACACACATTTCAAATGCAGCGCGAGCTCCGCAAACGGCGCCCAGTTCTACATCTCGTGTGCTCAGATCACTGTCTCCGGTGGTTCCGGTTCCAAGACGCCGTCAAACCTCGTCTCCTTTCCCGGCGCCTACAAGAATACTGACCCTGGTCTACTCATCAATATCTACAATAACGGTGGCAACACCTACCAGCCTGCCGGCCCGTCTGTTTTCACTTGCTAAGGAGAAGTAGTGAGAGGAGGATGAAGAAAGGTTGGTTGGTATATTGGATGGTATATGTGTCTAGAGCTATCTTTATCTATATCGAGAATACAAGACATCCTAAAAATCAAAGTCGAAAGCACGTGGGGCTGTCAAACCATTCCCAATGGCGCCCTAAACGACGAAGGGGTATCCACGGGAGGTAGATTTTGCTTGTAGAAATTAACCCCCTCGTGATCAAATAGTTGAGGGGGCGATTACTGTGTTCTCGATGTAACACATTCAAGTATATTCCCGCTGATTCATCCTTCCTCAGGCGAGTCGTCTATGTCCGTGCGCAACATTATGTTACGATAATGGCCTCTAGATTCCCTCTGGCTTATGTCTTTTGCCACTCGACTCAGCGACGTCGTGCTCACCCGACCCCAAATAGGTAAAGTCTACTTACATTTCTTTGCAATTCTAGATTTGTCTTGATATGATTGAGAATGCCGACTACGCAAGGTAAATGGTCACATATTCTATCCATATACAAGAGGTAATACCTTCGGTCGTACAACAAAAACCCAAGATCCGCAATTCAGCACTTATCTCTCTAATCTGTGATATCGAAAGCCGAAAACCGCTTAGGGAGAATTCAATAAAAAGGAACCAGAGAAGGGGAATGAAGAGACAATTGTCAAAAAAGGATGACACTCTTGACTGACTCTCGATCGGGGAATCGAACCCCGGCCACCTGCGGCTCGCTCTTGAGATGGCTACTAATGTCCACGATCGTGGATTACGTATCATCTGATGAATGACAAGCAGGTATCCTCACCACTAGACCAATCGAGATGCAGGAAAGTACCAGGGTTGGTGTCTGCATGGATGTCAGGAGTGCTGATTGCAATTATTAAACAGCATGGCATGCAGCTATGGGTCGAGAATAAGCCACTAGACTAATCGAGATGCAAGAAGAATCAGGGTGGTGTCCACGTGTATTAGTTGTTGGATTGCTAATTGCAGTTGTTAGTATAGCATGCAGCTGTGGGTTGAAAATCAGCAGTGATGGCCAGACCAATCGAGATATAGGACTGAGAGAACCATGACACTCGCATTGGGACTAGAGTTTGCTAGGTTAGGTTAGTTGCCGGGTCGTGGCCTAACTTCCATGAGCGGAGTATAGATAGAGGTCATCTCGTTGCATGCTTCATTTTCTTGCTTAGGCATTGTGGACGCTGCTGCTGTACCACGCATAGATCGAAGCTAAGGGTGAATTTACCCAGTCATTGTCACACGCGGCAACTCATTGGGGCGAGGTTGTTGTGTCTTACATACAATAAGCAGGCGTGTTTCTATCGATGGTTCTAGACTGGCAGGGCGTTGAATTCCTTCTTAGTCTTAGCTCATGCAAAATGCCCCAGAACAACAGATTTCAGTGCCCGACGTCTGGCGGGACAAACGATGAACAGGCATCATCAGAGTACCTACCCATTGCAGGAAGGTGAACGTGACAAACCTGTTGACTTGAAAGTACCCTGGCAGGGCCTGCAGATTTGTGGCCAACTGAGCCCAGATAGATCGGTACGTTGCAATACAAGCTTATTCAAATCACTGTTGTCTCTGTAAACTATCCCCTAAACGCTCAAGAAAGCACCCGGGGTGTTGAGAAGGCAGGATTCATGGTGATCGAATGTGACGCTGGACGCATTGAATTAATCTCCACACCGCATCTTCTCACGATCTCCTCGCGTGAAAATTAAGTCCATGGAAGTGGGAACTTGCCGTTACCCTGCCATCGTTATGACTTAGCTTTTCCGTGCCCAGACTGAGGGCGGAATAAAGGAAGCCTCTGGGCATAAATCGCCTGGATCACTAGTGTAAGATCAAGATAGTGTGTGTTTATATGGAGCCCCCCAGGGGGCTGGTTTGGACTATATCTTAGGTTCTTAAGCCTTGTCATATCTCTTGAACTACTGTTCGCACACACCTTGTCTAACCAGGCCTTGAGGATTTTACATATCCGCCTTAATTTAATTTCGGATGATACTGGTGAGGGTAATGCGACCAGGGGAGAAGGATGACGTGGGCGAGGATGTACGGCTTACCACCTGTGACGCCTTTGATCGGGTCTTTTCCCCCCACGTGGGAGTAGTTAGAGAGTGTTTGAGCCAAGCAATACAGAATAGAAGAGTGAGCCTCGTAGTCCAAATATATACCAGGATTTTAAAGCACTTTGCCGTGTGATTCAACGTCATGAATACCTAAGACGAAAACTAAAAGCATATGCTAAATATAGATAGATCTTGCTAGAATGCTTGCTACGATTGTTAGTGTACCTTCTAATCAATGATTAGGTTTGGTAGCATCTGCTCACTCTACACTCAAGGCTAGCCTAGACTCCCAGCGGAAGTACTATTCAGCATTCCCTCATAAGTAAACGTCTCGAAACTCTATCGAACGGTGAGACACATAAACCGGACTGAATACTCGCATCAGCCGCAAATGACACGTCAAAAAGGCAGCTTCCGACACCGCCACAGTTTTCCAATGTCTTGTCTCTTTTGTTTATGGGTATAATTCAACAGGTGAACTGTTTCGGACGATTTGGACTGAGGTGGACGCAAGGGAGAGCTGGTCGTATAACTTTTCCAGACCACGAGGCCAAGCGTTTCTCCGCTGTAACATCAGCCGCATGGTTTTCTCTTGGGAAAACTCTCGTGACCCTGCATCTATATTGAAATGTCCGCATCTCCGTTGCAAGTCTTCCATATCTCTCTATCCAAAGTTTACCTCTATAGTGAATTGAAAATGTCTCGCCTGCTTCATTGCTTTTCGGTGCCAATATTCAGGTTAGAAATCAGGGTGGCTTGGATGACCAAGAAAAATCACCCGTTTTCCAGCGCCTCTCAGCAGCAAGCCACCTATATTAATACATATATTTCGGCCGAGCGGTCACCTGAGGAATGACGGCAGGGCAGTATGCAAGCCACTCTGCTTCACACAGGCATTTCAATCCATATTTGCAGAAGAGACATGATACGAAAATTTTCCCCTCTCTGGCGGATGTTGTCCATACGGCCCTGGAATGTGGAGGCTGGTTAGCACGAATAGCTAGTAGACGAGTTAAACAGACGAGATGGCAACTGATGGTAATAGGAGAGGCATCTCGCCAAACATAGTGGTCTGGGAAACCTGCTTTACCACTACTGTGCGTGTACTACCATGACGACTCCATCGATTCAATGATGTGTAACGGGATCTAGCAGATTAGTGACAAGCGACAGCTCACCATCCGAACCAAGGACCGCACCAATCGCTGCCTGTCACTCTGGTTCCTACCTTAGACTGATCTCCCACAAGGTGGTGTACCCAAGGACTACTTTAGCAGCCACCGCTAATGTGCTCAAGGTACACTACACTCTCTAGTACCATACACTTTTGGCGTCACGGCAGCCTATCCGAAATTACACTAAGAACCACGGACTGCAGCCATCGCCGACGTCCTAAACCACCAATGCTTGTGTTCTGCTCTTACTCAACTGCCTATGCTCATATAATCTGACCCACACGTCTGACGCATTGATGATCGAAAGCAGAACAACCTGCATCTTCAGATAGGAGAGGATTTTCGGTGGATTGAAGAATACTACCTCATCGACGTCAAGGCCCCTCCCTGTATGATTAGGTAGATGTCATCGTGATGCTTGCTGGCTGCGCGTCGGAGCTGCCGAAACCCGTAAGGATTGAGGAGGGAAAAAAAACAAGGGCGAAGAAGATACGAATCAGTAAAAGCTGCCTCCTCCTGGTTGGACCTTAGCATCGTGGGTCCCGTTTCGCAACTACTACCTACATAGAGATAGACAGAGCGAAAATCAAGCGCACTACTGCCAAACGGTCGACCCCAGCGAGCAACATCTCATTTCCCCTATCTGCTGCAACTTTGATTTCTCGAATAAGAAGACACAGTACAAGCCAATCCAACCCAATCCATTCCCGTGGGAAATCTTTTAAACAAAAATCTCCACCCCGCTGCATGGTGTGTTTGAGGGCATTCGGGGAAATTGCCCAATGTCGTATCCTCGTCGAGATTTTGGATTCCTGCCACCGCACAAAAAACAAAAACAAAAAACAAAACAAAAACAAAAAAAAGGAACAGCTCCTCAAGGGAGAAGAGTTCATTTGACAGTGGGCATCCACTTATTTTTGACTTCAATGGCGAGTGGCGGGAGCTGTGGTGCAGCTGAATACACCTTTCTTTTTCAAGGAACGTCGATGTTCACCCATTCATTGACCGCTTTTGCGGCAGGAAATGGCAGAAGTCGAGCCGAGAACACCAGATCGCAAGCAGATAAGGTGTAGGTACTGTATTCACTTAGACACATACAGGCATGGCATACATGAAAATGGCGTTATATCTAAGGATTGAATGGCTGGGCTACCTACTTGTTCGGGCATGGGAAGAGGAGGAGGAAAAAAGGGATAGTGTTGTTGTGCATGATCGCCACTGCAGCTTGCAGGGGTTCTTTTATATACTAGGTAGATCCAGACAAGTGGGTGATGTTCCCAGGGATCTCAAAGGTATGGATAGGATCACATTCGCCAAAGGAAGCGGTTAGGCGAAGGCAATGCGATGGTGTAGGGAGTGTGGGACAAGGTATACATAGCCGTATCCCTCGCAGATGGTAGATAGGCTTTTGCTGATGTCAGTACGGGGAGTCGTACCACGGTCTCTTGCCCACCAAGCTACCCTCCTTCATGACGGCGGCCGCAGGATACAGTCGCCACTCCGAGCTTTACCGGTATACCTATTACTATGAAGCGAGCGCACGAGTGGCCAGCTGAAGGAAGATATCGAGCCGTCATGCGCAACCAACCTGTCGATTTCTCCCACGACACGCTCCCACGTCACTTCAGATGAATGACTCCCCATGATGATGTATGGGCGATGCTCAGGATCTACACACACATCAGGAGGGATGGAGGATAGAAGGCAAAAAAATATGGGTTCGCTCAGCTTGTGATTCGGTCAATATTGGAGGCCTTGGCTACTGTCGCAGACATGACTCGATGTTATCGTTCCAATATGGTCGAATTTATGGAGGTTCATCCAGGCTTTCTACACTGGGAACAGGCCGAATCAGTCAAGGTTGCATGCTGGTGGGTCCGAGTTGCATGCAATGCAAGGCCAACGATGAGATGAGCACCCTTTGCCCCCGAGAGAGAGTTCTCCTTGCCGAATCGGGGTGCGAATAGACACTTGGAAGTCCTTACTTGTCCAGCGTGGTGGTAGTGCACACATTCAATATTTCGTATTAGAGAAAATGTACATTTGGGACCCTTCGGCGAAGGGCATTCGTCGATATCGGTGTGCACTGTACTGTGAATATCTATCCCGAAACTCCGTGCATGAAGGTACCCAGGCAATCCAAATCTCACAGCGTGGCTTACACTACAGCAGCTGTGACGTGAGATACAGGAAACAGGGATTCTTCGATCGACGAAAACGGCTGTATTATATTTCCGAGATCAGATGTCTCAAAGCTGCAGTCCGCTGGCCAAAAGGGTAGGAGGAACCACGGAAGACACAGGTACATGACTCGAGAGTACAGTACGGCTCTCTAAGCGCTTGGATGTCTGTATTTGTCTACCTCAGTCTCCTGCAGATCGTCATGCTCGTTCGATATCATCACGAATGTAAAGCACCACGGCTCCAAAATGGTCTGTGCTATGTACAGCATGCATACATACCTGTCTCACTTCGTACGATCCCACGATCCGTGAGACATTAACAGCTACCGTTTACAATACTATTCCTAATCCTGTAGTCACGATGTTCAAAGACAAGGTTGTGA